TCCCGGTCCAGAAAAGGTCGCAACTGGTGTATCAGGCGAACCTGATAAAACGCCCCCCTGGTCACGGCCGACAAGTGATCTTCCAATGTCAGCCGTGGGTCCAGGAGGACTCCCAAGTTGCGTGCCTTCTCTGAGGGGGCCAGAGTTTCGCCCCCTATAGTCAGCGATGGGATCAGCTGACTATGCACTGGTAAGGAGTTGCCAGGCCTGCCAAGAAACCCGACCGGAGATGCCACAAGCACCAGTGCACCACTGGGAGACCACGCACACCCCGTGGTCTCATGTGCACATTGACTTTGTGGGCCCGTTCCAAGGGCAAGTGTTCCTAATTGTAGTAGACAGTTATTCCAAGTGTTTGGAAGTGGCACCGGTCTCATCGATGACAACAACCAAGGTCATCCAAGAGTTGCGCTGGCTGTTTGCCACACATGGTCTGCCAGATGTAATCGTGTCCGACAACGAGGCACAATTCACGGCAGGAGAGTTTCAATCTTTCCTCAACACCAACATGATTCGGCACATAACATCCACTCCATTCCACCCCGCGACCAATGGTCAGGCCGAACAAATGGTCAGGACCACAAAGAAGGCACTCAAGCGGATGACGACTGGGGGCTGGAATCACTGCCTGGCAAACTTCCTCCTGTGTCAACACACAACTCCCAGTACAGCAACAGGTCGCAGCCCAGCGGAGCTAAGGTGGGGCCACCGGCTCAAGCTCGACCGACTTCACCCAGACAGAGTAGCGGCAGACAGCTCAACCAAAGCCTCCCAGGAACTTACAGCTGGGTGAATTGGTCTGGGCCAGGAACTATGGAAGTGGGGCACCTTGGGTGGCAGCTAGGATAATTAAGATAATGGGGCCCTTGTCATATGAGGTTATTCTGGAAAATGATCGTATGGTCAGACGCCACATTGATCAGTTACGGCATCGGCAGGCCGGGCCAGTCCCAGGTGAGGATCCCGATGTTTTATCAGACACACAAGAGAACTGTTTTCCTCCGAGTTTGCCTACATCACCTGTGGCCGCCTCTGGGGAAACGGAGGTACGAAGGCCGTAGAGCCGCAGCCACTCACGGGCGACCTAAACGGCCATCACGACTCTATTCAACTGGAGATGGACAATACTCCACTTGAACAGGACTCTCCAATAACATTGCGGCGGTCCACCAGGATCCGCGGGCCCCCGGCCTATCTCAAAGACTATGAATATTGAACAGACTGAGGATGATTACTATTCTAGGGGAAAGGGGTGTTATGTATTGAATATATATAAAGTTGTGTTAATCCCTGCTAAAGTGAAACTAACTTAACTCCAACTGCTTGTGAAGCTAAAATGAAACTAACCTTTAGATGACCCTGACTGTTAACTCCAACTGTTTTGGAGGAAAACTTTGAACATTCATATTTGGGTGGGTTTTTCAAGTATTGTGATTGGTTAAGGCCCTGTGAGCTCAGAGTATAAATTACAGGCAATTGCCTGCAGTTCTCCAGTTCTAGTTTGAATCAATAAATAATGTAACTATGCTGGTCTGCTCCTTGCCTACTGAAGCCCTCTACACAATACTTTCTAACTGAGGTTTCCTAATAAAAGGATTTGAAAATATATATCAGTGGTGGCGAACCTATGGCACGGGTGCCAGAGGCGGCACTCAGAGCCCTCTTTGTGGGCACGCGCGTC